GACACGAACGTCCTGGCCAGCGCACGCGACGGCCGCTGGGACGCTCGTTTGTGCGCTTTGTGCTTTATGTGTGTTCTGCACGGCCGGCTGCGGACAGTGGGAGACATGAATCAGACATGTCCGCCGCCGGGGCCGCTGCAATAGGATGCAACGTGCAAGCGAATGCAGCGCTGGGGGCGCAGCGAGACCTCTCGCCAGCCCTGCGCGCGGTCCGAGCGGTGTCTGACGCCGTCGGTCGGCCGGAGATCCACTAATAACGAGCCGACAGTTACGTCCGAGCTGCGGGAAATATAGACGCCGCGGACGGGACGACCACCCTGCTGCCCGGACCGTATCACTGCCGAGCAGACGTGGAGTGGTCCGATTTACCGGCGTTATTAGCGCTAAAGAGCTCTCAGGGCCGGCCAGTAAAGCACCCAGCGCAGTATCGGGCCCACACGATACGCAAATTGCGATGAACTAGGCCACTGCACAGTGCAGCACCCGTTACGAAACAGCGCCGCGTGCATTCGCAGGACCGATGCGAATGCAGCACGGTACACCGCTCGGTGATAATGCGGCCATCCTTAGATCTTCAGCCGTCTGTTGCTTTATAACACTCTCACAATGAAAGCCACTTCGGTGAAATAACATTCCTTGATATCGTATTACATCTCATCAGGGTCAAATCATTCCAAAGCACTTGTTTAACTTCACTCCGGTACAATGTATTGTCCATCAAACAAAACGATACATGTGTAGACCCGGCCGTTCGCATTCAAATGATATCTCGAGCAGCTGTTGGATGTGCATTCGTGCCATCAAAACACATCAAGCGTTGGTCGTAAAACCAGCGCACGGCGTACAGGATACGCCGCGACGCGCTATGAACGTGGGCCGACGTCCAGGCTGTGACAAAACCGGATCATTGCGCGACTCCGGGAGAGGAGTCGCTCCGCCCGCGGCGCCGCTCCGGTTTCGTCAAACAGTCCATCGCTCTCTCGTCATTACCGCCGACATTCTTATAGTGTCGCGGTAGCCGGGCCCGCTTCATTAGTGCCCCGCTAAGGGCCGATCTCCCGTACTACTGACAAATCGAGCGGCGTCTCACAAGGACACGTGTGCGGCGCACCATTGTTTCCGGCGCTGACGGCCCATGGCCGGCGCTGTGTTCTGGTCGAGTTTCCAGGGCCGATTCGAGTCTTTAGTGACTCAGCGTCCGTCTGCGGCTGTCTGCCATCAGTTCTAGACGTTCCCAGTGCGAGGTCGAGTTGCCGGGCCTGCACTAAATACACCCGACCACGGGCGGCGCTCGTCGGCGGCGGCGCGGGGTGCGGCACCTCACCGGTAGGGCGGGGGCGGCGGTAGGGCTCAGGGGTGGCCGTCTCGCCGCTGCAGACGGGGTGCGCCGAGAGGGCGAGGGCGCGCCGACCGGCGCACGGCAGCCGAACCGCGGCCGTCATTACTCGTTCTCTGTCGGCACTCGGTAATGAATCGGACGCACCGCGGCGGCGCGCCCGCTGCCCCGAATAGCAGCGCCGCGCCGCCGCGCCGCTATGACTGGGTAATGACCGCGGCATCGATTACTTCTGAGGCGGCTCGTTTGAAGCGGGCCCTGCGCGCTGCCAGTCATCGGCGCGGCTCGCCTCGCCGCGCTCCGGACGGCTAGCGGCTCATGGAGCGGCCAGCCGAGAGAAGCGGAGCGGCGCCCGTGTCGGGGAGCGCCTCCACCCCAGCGGACAGGCGGAGACAGCGGGAGACCCTGTACGGCAGACCGCTCCACCCTCCGGCCACAGAGCGTGGGCCGATCTACAACCGGAGCGCGACGGCCGGCTGGAGACAGCTACACATGTCCGAGTTTCTACAGGCCACCGGGCGGACCTGACCCGACCACCAGCGAGATGCCCTTTCTGGGGTGTTTGTTTTGCTATCTCTCTCCCTCTCTTTAGGTCATGAGTCATAAAGCCACGCCCCCGGGGGGACAGGGGGAGTGGCGGCGCCGGTGCTGCTCCGTTCTTCATCGCACAGGCCGTCTTTGTCGGAGCACGAGCACGCAGCCATGTATGATGCATAGCGGCGGTCCGTTGCGAAAGGCCGCCGTATCTGCGGCGATAATCGGCGCGGTGTCGGCGGCGGTGGCGCGGGCGCGGCGGTGGCGGCGCGCGCGGGGGTGTGTCAGGGGGCGGGTGGCCTGGTAAGGTACCGACCAGCGGAGATTCAGAGATGCTGCCGGGATGTCACGGCCACCGGCCGAGTGCTGGCGACTCCAGTGACCTCGGTGGGTGGAATAGTGGAGCATAAGTGACTATCTCTGTAGCAGAGAAACAAATTACTGAGCTGCACTACCTGAGGTTTACACAGTCGGTCTGTAGTCACATCCAGTGGTTCAATGAATCAGGTAGGTTTTCCAGCAGCCCGCCAGTCTACCCACAGTGAATCATCTCCTTAACGAGTTGATGAAGTGCGAACTACCCTCTGCGTGTCGATTGCGTGTCGATCGTCAGGTGTTGCAGATATGAGCTGCGCGCCAGGCACGCCACGGACAGAGCATCGTCTTCGACCCACTCCGGCCGCTGCTCACCGCCGAGAAACATCTTCATTACGGGTGATTTACCGGCGCGTATTTCAGCGTCTATGACGCCCGCGGGCGGCGCCGATCGGGCTGCTCTGATGCGCCCGCTCCGCTCGCCGATCGAGACCGGCCGGAGCCTCCGATCTGATCCAGGAGAGCCGCCGGGCGGCGGCGCTGGAGTCGGCTATCTCAGACAGGCGATAAGGTGCCAGGTCTGTGGAGGCCCCGTCGGAGCGGTGTTGACCCGCCTCTGACCCGACTGGGGCCCTCCCGCTCGGCCGCTGCCGCCGGCGCTCGGCGCTCTCTGGTGGTCCCGGGACGGCCCCCGGACGAGCCGTGCTTTACGAGAAATGGCCCATGGGTGGGGTAACGAGCCGGCGAGCAGCGATAAGATGCTGCAGATTGCACCCGGCCATGAATGGAGCGAAACGAGACGAGTTTCGACACCGAGAGCGCTCTTCACGACCGCGCAGATGAGGAGGGCTGGTGCAGGGTCGGTACAGCAGGGAGACGGACGGAATGCGGCCAGCCGCACCGCCGAAGGCTGCAAAGGGCGGGCAGATGGCGACTGAAGGTGGGCTCCAGATGAGAAATGAGTCGGCTGAGTGAGCTCATGAGCTATCGCGGGGAACAATTTAAAATGCGTCACGTGAAAATAGCAACAGTGGTTGGGGCGTAGTTTCCGAACCAGGGAGGAGTGCCAAGCAAATCTGGCCTGCCGACCCAGGTGCTGACGAGTTCATCTCGTCTCCGTGCGAGTGCCGATACCTTCTCTGCGGCCTCACATATGTCCGTCGATCATGAAGCCCCTCGGGGCCGGCCGGCCGGTCGGCGGCCGCCGGCTATCGCTGCGATCAGGGCTGGTAACGGGCCGTGTGAGCTGCAGCGCCGCCGTGACGTACCCGCCCCCGGCCGCCGTGCCATTACCGGCCGGAGATATTTCGTGGCCCGCCGCCGGGCCGGGCTTCGTCCGGCAGACCGGCCGCTGTCACCGTCCGTTCTGCTGAGACGGCGCGAGGCCGATTTGTCAGACTTGCATCGCGGGGGCTCGGCCAATGTCAGCCCGGCCTTTCCGAATGTCAGCTGATGTTTTAATCCCGGCGAATGAGACTGTCGGACGGTCTCCATGGGGGCTAATGCACGGCAGTGACATAACCTACCGTCTTATCAGATCGTCCGGGGATAGACGCCGACAGGGGACCTCACACGACATCGAGGCACAGTCCCGCTGGAGTCTGCCCAAGTCTCACCACCAGCACAGAGCCACCGCCGCCCGACCCGACCTGACCCGACCCGACCCGACCCGACCCAACCCGCGGCCAGTCCGGCGACGTGGGCGATCCGGGGCGATACTCCGCCTCCCGGCCGTCGCCGCACGCCGGCGATTGCCGATCGGCGGGCGCACGCCGCGCCGGCTGATGGCCCGTGGGCCGCTCCAAGGCGCACGTTTTGCGGGCGCCATCCGCCCGTGCACGGCGTGCAGAGGCAGATGAGCATATCTGGAGCAGTGGCAGTGCGGTGCGGACATGGGCTGTGGTGCGGCACGGAGTGTGCAGCGGAGGAACTCGGGGGAGGAGGTCGGCTGAGACGAGTGGAACCGAGGGTCAGTGATGTGGTGGACGGGTGACCGGTGCATTAGTGTGAGCAACAGATGGGCTGTGATTTATTGACTATTTTTATGTTGACGAGCCAGTACCGAAGATACCATTTAAAGCTACATTCATTGTGAACAAGGTTTCTCGTGTATCCGCGGCCAAGCTTCCATGCATCCTCCCACTGACTCCAAATATCCTCTCGCCACACCCCTTTCCACCACTCCCCGTCTCCGACCGCTCCGGTGACCACACGCGGCGCCCACCGGGGCCACTCCCAGATGTTTGTCGCCGCCTGGCGTGGGAGGGAGTCACAATACCCTCCACCGTCCCAGCACGCAGCCCTTGACTGGTTTACGGCGGGGTGGACCGGCGCAGTAGAGAGCGCTCATGAATACCTCATCACGACACTCCTGGCGCGCGCGGCGGCGGCGGCGCGGTCACCGTAGTGTCACCACAGTATCACCCCAGTGTCACCCCCGTGTCACCTCGTGTCACCACATGGCCGGGTGGTCGCCGAGGGGTCAGGGGTCAGCTCTTTATCACACTGATAAGACGGCAGCGGCCGCAGCGGGAGCGGTGTTAAGGGCACAATGGAGCTTAACTGAGCCGACTGGCTTGATGTGACGCAAGATTAAAACTGATTCGATCGCTTCGTAGCATCTGAGACCCAATGAAGGGAGAAATGAGTGTCGCTATTTGGTGGTGATGACTGTAGATGTTTTCGCTGTGTGGTATCGTTTTAATTCACGTCATGTCTGGAATCTCACTGGGTCCGTCTCACACCAAATTCACGTTTGGAAACCTCGCTGGGTCCATCGCACATCAAACCTGACAGTCTTCTCCGTCTGTTTCAGGACCTGAGTGACACCCGTCTCGCCCGGCGCTCGATGTTCGTCCGGCCTGCCCACTCGCTCGTCAGCCCGCCGTCCGTCCACCGCACCGCCAGTCTCGAGATGCGCGAGAAGGCGCACAGTCCGCGCAAGCTGGAGCTCTCGCTGCGCACCGACCTGCTGGCCGCCGGCGCGCTGACGCCCTACGACCTCAGCGGCACGGGCAGCGAGACGACGCTGTCGCCGCCGGAGCGCGCCGCCGCCTCCGGCGACCAGGAGGTGCCACTCGACCTCTCCGTGAAGGCGGCGAGGCTGCACACGGAGGATGAGAACCGGAACCTGGTGCCCGTGTCGCCGGGCGCGGTGGCCGCCCTGGACCCGGCAGATGTGGCCGGAGCAGTCACAAAGCTGCAGTATGGATCCAGACTGTATACTGGCAGTGAGGCTGAGCTGGCGGGACAGCTTTACAGTCCTGCTCTCATGGACATCTACGGCAAGAGCAAGCTGTATGCCTCCCCTCTGTTGGCCACCGCGCCTAGTTATCCGTTCATTCTGCCGGGGACATTTGAGATGATCCGTTCTCAGCTGGATCATATCCATCTCAGACGCACTCCAGGCGTGCCCCTGCCAGGAGTCATCAAGAACAAGGACAGGTACTCGTGCAAGTTCTGCGGCAAGAACTTCCCCCGCTCGGCCAACCTGACGCGCCACCTGCGCACGCACACCGGCGAGCAGCCGTACAAGTGCAAATACTGCGAGCGCTCGTTCAGCATCTCGTCCAACCTGCAGCGGCATATCCGCAACATCCACAACAAGGAGAAGCCGTTCCGGTGTCCGCTGTGTGACCGCTGTTTCGGCCAGCAGACCAACCTGGACCGGCATCTGCGGAAACACGAGTCGGACGGGCCGACCATCCTGGACGGCGGGTTCCGACCCGCGGTCTCACAGAGGTCGGTCTCCGCCTCCGGCTCTCCCGCCTCCGAGGACTCGGCCGCCGAGATCGACGTCGAAGAGGTGGACGAAGCAGAGGCCGCCTCCTCTCCGGAGCATATGGACACGAAGCCGGCATTGGAAGCCGAGGATAACTGAGCGGCTGCCTTATCTCAGCCGGGGTTCTCCGGCAGGTTGAAGTGATCTAAGGCGAGGTGACCTGGGTGAATGAAACCCGGGTGACCCGAGGTGACTCTCGGCGACCTGAGGTGGCGTGACCTGCCTCGCAGTCATCGTGTCACCGTGGTCAGACCCCGGAGTTCGGACAGCTCAGCTCGGAGATATCTCCGGGTCCGGTGACGTCACGCAAGGTCCCGTAGTGCGGGATCCGTCGCCAACTCCTCGCCAGCGCTTTCCGCGAAGACACACCAAGCTTTAACAAGACGAGCAAACACTGCGCGCCGGGCTGGGGCCCAGGACAATCGAGTACCTGACGCACAAACTGTGTGGTGTTCAGTCTTCCAGCGACACCGCGCTGGCTGCCATGACACGAGGCTACCGCTCCAGTACAAAGTAGCGTCTCTCCGGCGGCGACGGGCCGCTGCGATCCGGCTGCCCTGCTATCTGCGTACCTGTAGGAATGCAGAGCGCGCCGCTGCCGACGCTGTGACGGAGAAGAGGCGTGATAGGCGCGCGGGGAAGGACGGTAGGGTGTCCTAGGGATGGGGGTATGAGGGTAAGGACGCACCGCCGTGCGGTTTGTGTATGTTTATGTATGGTGGTGCGAGCGAGTTTACCGAGGGTCGAGGTTGATAAGGTGGTCTCACTGTGCTTGCTCTGCTTTCGACACAAGAAAATACCGGATTATACCAGATGGATGTCGTACTGTCAAGTGCTGAATCAGATCGCTAGCCGCGCTCAGCAGAGCCTTGGGTATTTATTTCGTATTTAAATAGTTTCCGGAACCACGCCGCAGTAGCTAAGCTAGACGAGCCGGTGCGCAGAGGAACATGAGTCGTTCCGAAGATTCGTTTAGTTTCACCATGACAAGGTGTGATCGTTGCTTTGCGTCGCGTGTGCGTGTTGAAGAAATGTGCCCCGAGGTCGACCCCATGCGCACACCATGTGTTGTGTTAAAATCATAGAGATTGTTTATTTTAAGGCTCAAGCGTATGTGCCTTGCAAATCGGAGCTTTCAGCGTACTTGCAGCCCCGTGTTGCTGATCCAAGTGTCTCTCGGCTCCCCTTGTCTCCGGCGCCGATCCTCTGAGCTGTTTGCTGACCTGCGCTGTTTGCTCTTTTCGTCGGATGTCTTGCGGTTCACCTAGGTACTCATCTGATGGGAGTGGTCACACATGTCCTTAGTTCGTTCGCCGCTCGGTCGTGTACTCTGCACCTTTTCCACTCCACTCTAGAGACGATATAGATTGGGTAGTTGACATTCAAGTAGGCTCTAGTCAAGCTGCAAACCTAAATCCAAAGGAAATGCGTATGATTATGTTTAATTGTGATGGGTATAAATACAAAATATACAAAAGCGCGTGTTTTTTCTTCAGAATGGACAGCATATGGACCATAGATTTATGACAAAATACCAGATCATAGATGCGATCATTCCAGAGAAAGCCACAGCCTGCGAGGATATGAATCACTGGCACACACGAGCGCACATCAGTATGGAATTATCAAACAGTATGGAAAGACATAACATGCCTGCACATTGCACGACGTACAGTCATCAGGTACAACATGAATCAGTATTAATTAGGTACAAGGAGAAAATCAAATAAGAGTCATGTATCATAAAGAAAAAGAGTGCTGAGTTCAAAATGTCATTTATTTGCTGTATGAAACTTAGTACATAAATAAATGTAGCAAAATTTAACATAAATCTATATTAGCAAGCTCTCTGCAAAATAGTGTGTAAGGGAAGTATTACTGGACTGAAGCTCATCGCCATCTGCTCAGAGTCATTATTCAAAGTCAAATACCCATTTATGTAAAAACATTAACCTTAGCTGAACAGACAAACGCTTACTTTGTTTTCATATCTGCCTTGAATATCTACAACATAAGTCATTATAACGTCTATTTAAAGCTGCAAACGATGCACGCACCGAGCTCTATACTGTCGAGAATTTCACTCATCAACACATAGGAGCTGAGTAGCACAAGCGATAGGGTAGACCGGGGCAAGTCGCCCCGCCGAGGTAAAACGCCTCACCGATGTTTCTCGGAACTGGCAAGGTTCTGAGGAAACATCCTCTCTTCAATAAAACGTGCACTATATGATCATTATCTGAGCAGACTGGAAAGAAATTGTGATAACTCTTTAGGAATATGTAGCCAAAAATGTGTTTTTAGAGTGATTTTTATGTTTTGTTGTCTGATTATGCATCATGGCGTTCTTTTGTGGTCCACATCAGGTTAACGACTTTTATGTATTTTGAACAATTATTGTCTAACGCTTGTAATGCCGGGTTGGTTCGTATTAAATTATGTCTTGCTGGAGCGCAAGGCGTTGTTCTCTGACCAAACTACGTAATGGGGTAAAACGCCCCAGAAGGTCGCGGGGCAAAACGCCCCATGGGGCGTTTTACCTCACGTGTTGTTCGGACTACCCACTTCCTAATGTTCGGTAGCTGGCGAACGGTAAGTTCTTATGCATTTATATGCATTTTTCTCGGCAACTGCGTGGCAAAGAAAGTATTTGGTTAACATTTGCATTGCAATAATTTATTATTTGGCCTTATGAGGCAGGTGAAAAACCTGCTCATACAATAGCGTCATAACTGAACACCTGATATGATAGAAGGTGCTAACTTCAGTGACGTGCCTCCAGAGGTCTAACGAACCTCTCATATAAGATTTATTCATCTACCATGTTAAATCTTTAATTTAGAGTATGGGGCTTCTTGCCCCAGGCCGTGGGGCGTTTTGCCCTGGGGTTGGGGCAAAATGCCCCATTTGCAGTTGTTTCAGAAATCACTTCCTAGCTGGGAGTCCGATCATAAGTAAATGAATTTGAGGGGTGGAATTTAAAGTAAAATGTCCAAAGAACGCATTGAGCACAAATTTGACCTTCCAGATGATGTGGGACAATAGATATGTAGCAAAATAAATTATCTGGGGCGTCTTGCCCCAGGCTACCCTACTAAATTTTCCCTCTTCCCATTCAAATATTCACTTGTAACAATTCAAGAGAGAAATAAAAATAGAGCAAGCGATTCGCATGCGAAAATCGAATCCAGGACTGTTTGTATTCCAAAGAGCAGTCCGGCAAGACGGGAGCAGACGGCGCATATAACGATATGTTGATTGGTGGCGGACATATGAATGTGAAGCACCGACCACGGGCCAGTTTCAGTGATACAAACTGGTGAATACCTGAATACCAATGTGCGGGACGTTCCTAAATCAGAGCACAAGAGGTCAAAACTGAACAACAGGCGACTTTTACAGCCGCGTTTTCCATACACATCACCTAATTCAGCGGGCCGTCAGTGCGGATTTTGTGAGGTCGTTCGGCGGCCGAACGGCTGCGCAAAGTGCAATTCAAACGCTCCCACTCCGCCCAGCGCCGCCCGGCGATAGCACCCCTATCAACGCGTAAAACCCGAGTGATGCCTCATGGCCGGGCCGGTGACATTCGCCGCCTCTATAGGGCTTCACCCGGGGCAGGTCGGCACCCCTGTAATCTGTGTAACGGCCGTGGTGCAATGCAGCAGCCGCACGGCTGAGATGCACATTGTCGGAGCGCGCTGATCCACGAGCGCACTCACTAATGCCACCGCTGATAGCGGCTACTGGCTGTCATTGTCCTGGGCCGCGGCGAAATAATGCAGCCCCCGGCGGATTACCATGCAGGGTAATAGGTGCGCCTGCAATCAGCGGCTTGTTAACGACTTGCATGCGAGCAGAATATATGTGATAAGTAAGACATTTACGCGACAAAACGTGTCCCGATAAAAGTTTAGCGCCGTGCGCCAAATAAGCTCGTGTGTGCATTATGCAACTACATATTGCGGTGAGATACGTCCTTCGCCCCTGCCCTATTGATACCATTCGGTCCCCAGTGCTTTTAGTAGTTCTTATGATTTTCAACATGGATGGAAAGTGGGTAAAATTAATATGAATTTGCAAAATGGCTACTTGTATACTGGTTGCAAGAACACTATGTATATGGAAATGAATATGTAAATGATGTCTTGTTGTAAACTTTCCTATTTTTGACCAATGACTGCTATTCACGGGTTATTTTTTTTTCACAATCCGCAGAGATTTTAAGATGAATGAGGTGACTTGAATTGCATCTTCAATACATACAGATTGCATATTATAATTGCGAATGAATGCATTATTATTTATTTTATCTAAACAATCGTTTGCATGACAGATTGTTTAAAGTGTTCTAATTATGTTTCGTCAGCCAAGACACGATATTTGCCGTACCAACCGTTTGTAAGCCTATCACGACACCTGCAGCACGAGGTAGCCAAAGAGACCATCACACTCGTGCTGTTGGAGCGCCACGCAGTCGCGGTGAAAACCCTCCACACCGAACCCATCCGAGACCCGAGATCGCCGAGACGCGATGGTTCGAAAGTCCTCTCTGTTTGACGTCTGAACAGCGCACGATCAAAGGGAGTGAATCGCCGCCTCGGCAGCAGCACATACATATACTTCTCGTAAAGCAGCCGTGTTTGCTGATGGCTCAGATAAACGAGGCGGGGGTGGCGGCGGCGGCGGCTGCAGCGGGTGACTTCAGTTACAGAGGCCGAGCTGAGCTGCGATGGAAGATCGACCAAAGACGCTCTACAGCTGGTTTAGGTCGTCTCCTCCGATGGACAGCGCTCTCGCGTCGGTACCGATCCTCCGACGGAGCGCAGCTCGAGCGGGCGTATCAGCGACGCCGCACCGATGACCTCCACCCCCCGGAGATGACGTGATGAACGAACCGATCCCCGACGATAACGCTTATTTTACGACAACTTTTACCGGAGATTCATTTAACGGGCGTATCTAATGAATACGTTTATGAGTATCGATGTTTTATCGGGCCATCGACTAGACAAACAATCAACACAGCCGGGCTCAGATTACAATTCCAGATAGGTGGCAAGCGGAAAATGAAGGCGACGTCTCGCGCGGCCGGCGGCCCGGATGCCCGCCTTTCGTCGGCCGCTCTCCGCGCTAAAGATACGGACAGACGAGGCCACAAACAAGCACATCTAGGTTACATGAATGTATAAGCTAAACGCGTAAGAGATACGGGTCGGATAGGTTTCAGCGTGTCGGCACCGGCGCTGTCGGGCGCGCCGCGCTCCGAGAGCAGATTATTGCCAGGACGCGGCCAGCGCGCCGGTGAAAACTGGCAACAAATCAGCGCCTGCATCGGAACACACGGCTGAAAACAAACAGGAACAGGCGCACTGAATTCGGCGGCCGGCCGGCAGCAGAGCGGACGCACTGCAGCGCGCGCACGGCTGAATTGTGGGTGCGCGGCGCACTAACTCACGCTTCGAGCCGCCGTCATGAGAGCGCGAGCGGTAACGAGGGCGCGCATTATGCAACGGGAAGAGCGATAATGACGCTCCGTGACGGGGCACCACGCTCAGCTCCGCTGAGCGGCCGATGTCAGGACTGAAAACGCTTCCTTGCGCGCCAAATTACCCGTGATTCGAAATGCCAGCCACTCGCACGTGACAATTAAAGCTGGCGGATAGCTGCAGCTTGACGTTGCAACACGTACTACATGTCGCACGTAGTGTGTTTCCGTTTGGAAAACAATGACGAGGCCTTTTCTTTGCAGGCAAAGGTAGCCATCCTCAACAGTCGCATCAGAGCGGAACAAAAGGAGCATGATCTGAGAGTTGGTATGTCATCTTGGGGCGTGTCAGCTCTGACAAATGAGACCAAACACAATACTTTCGAACTACTGGTGTAAGGTGACTTTGAAATCGGTGCACTAAAAACGGGTATAAATATTTACCTTCGGTTAAGCTTGTCACCCTGATGACTATACAGTAAGATTAGAAAGGCTGG